GCCCCACCTCTTCCTCGGTGTACTCAGGGGCGTCGGCCTCGGACCGCGGCCGGGCGCCCGCTCCATCGCGCTCCGGTTCCCTGCGCCGGCGCTCGGGCCTCGAGGTTCCGCGCGCTCAAGGTTCCGGGAGCCGGGCCGGGCGAAGGGGGCGGGGCGGGAGTTAGGGTCCTCAATGCCCCCGCTGCGTCCGCCTGCCCCGCTGAGTCCGCCGGCTCCGCGCACCCTTCCACCGCCCCGCCTCCTCCTTGGAGCCCTCCTGGATTCACGCCCGCCGGCTGGGTACCAGCAGCCTCTGCTCTCCAAGTCTCCTCTGGAAAGTCGCTCGGATCTGCTAGTCCTCGTCGTGCTTGCTCCCTTTTAAATTCTCCTGGCACTTGCTGTAGTAGTTGTCCTTCTGCATCAAAGGCCCTTTAGTCGGTTGTAATCACCGATTATTGTGAGACACAATAAATAAATGTATCACGTCAGGTAATGATACATGCTATTCGTTAAAATAGGAACCCTCATGCACTGCTGATGGGAATGCAGACTGGTGCAGCCACTGTGGAAAATAGTATGGAGTTTCCTCAAAATTAAAAATGGAACTCCCACTTGACCCAGTAATCCCACTCCTAGAAATCAGAAACACCAATCAGAAAGGACATATGCACCCCTATGTTCATAGGAGCACAATTCACCATAGCTAAGATTTGGAAACAGCCTAAGTGCCCATCAGCAGATGAGTGGATTAGAAAACTGGGGTACATCTACACAATGGAATACTACGCCACCAAAAAAAGAGAGAACTCTTAGCATTCACAACAGCATGAATGGACCTGGAGAGCATTATGCTAAGTGAAATAAGGCAGAGAAAGATAAATATCACATGATCTCACTCATTTGTGAAATATAATGAACAACATAAACTGACAAACAAAAATAGACCCAGAGACATAGAAGCATTGAGCTGACCATCAAACCCCAGAGGGAAGGGGGGGAGGGGGGAGGGTAAGTGATCAACCAAAGGCTTTGTGTGCGTGCATATAAGCATAACCAATGGACACAGACAGTAGAGGGGTGAGAGCATGTGCTGGCGGTGGGAGCAGCTGGGGAGAGGTCAATGGGGGGAAAGGGAGACATATGTAATACTTTAAATAATAAAGAATTTAAGTGTTAAAAAAGGAGAATAGAGATATGGGATACTTGAGCAGAGGCCTGAGGAAATGAGGGAATGATCTGTATGGATATCTAGAGGCAGAGCCTTCCAGATACAGGAAATGGCAAGTGCACAGGCTCTGATGCAGGAGCATGTTGCCCTGTTGCCCTGCATGTGGACACCAAGGAGGTTATTGTGTGAAGAAGTACGGAGAAGGGTAGTTAGATTGCTCAGGGCTTTGAAGGCCTTGGTTAAGGACTTTGGTTTTGAATCTGAGGGAAATGGGAAGTCACTGTAGGTTTTCAGCAGAGAAGTAACATGATCTATTTTTTTGAAGTATCCTTCTGGCTGCTTGTGGAATGTAGGGCATGGGAGGGGCGGGGGCGCAAGGATGGAAGCTCTCCTAAGGGTGCCCAGTTTGTCCTGGTTTACTTGGGACTTTCCTGGTTTTAACATTGAAAGTCCTATGTCCTGAAAACCTCCTAAGTCCCAGGCAAACTAGGATGATTGGTCACCCTATGGGGAGACTCATAATGCAAGTGAGAGATGGTGGTGTTTAGAATAAGGTGATAGTGATAGGAAAGTGGTTTTGAAAGCAAGCCTAAAGATTTTGCTAGTGGAGTGAATTTGGGTGTGAGAGAATAAAAGGAGTTGAGGATGACTTATAGGCTTTGGCCTGAACAACTGGAAGGATAGAGTTGCCATGTATGGAGAGGAGGAAGGCTGGAGTAGGTGAGAGGGTGGATGATCAGGAGTTTAGTTTGGGACATGTTAGTTTGAGATCATTTAATAGACTGGCAAGTAGGGGACATCAACTGGACTATTGTGTGAATGAGTTTAGAGTTCTGAGGAACAGTCTGGGCTGGGTATAAAGTCGTTAGTTATCGGTATATATAGGTGTATATATGATAGTAAAGCTATGAGTCTAAGG